GAGCTTCTATTAGTACATAGAAAGAATAGATTGCACTGTGTGTATATATATATATATATATATATATATATATATATGTATAGTGCAATACGCTTCTTAGTGCAATAAGAAGCTACAGGGACGTTAATCTGACGTCGGTAATATTAACTTTATTTAATACAACATTTACGGTACACGATTTAATCATACAGCCCATGTAGTATGATAATGAATTACAGCAAACATGTGCAATATATCCATTATTACAGCTCCGTGGGATGGCAGTAAGACGATATGGGTCCGTTCTTATTGTGCATCCATGGGTAAAGATAAACACAACTCACATTGGTTTCTCAAACAGCATCTCTGTAAACTACGTGTATGTCACTGAATTTCACTCTCTGCCTTTAACGGCTCGTTGTAGCTCCAGCCCCCACCCTCCCTGTGAGCACAGTGTGCTCTGATTGGTCGGGACCATGCTGAACACGTAACATGAACGTGACGGGCGGCGCGGTCCCGTGGGTTAGATACACGTTCATAATGCAGAGGGATATAACTCTCAGAATAACGTTATTAGCACATTATTACAACTTGAGGAACGAATGTTTTTAATAAGGGCTATACAAACGTTCATACTGGGTAGTTTATTTAGTTTAAAAAAAATTATCCAACGATTTACAGACCACTCTTTCCCCATGTAAGTCAATGGGAAAAAGTGTTTCCGGGCCTAGCAACCAAACGGAAGTGTAGTACCGCCGTTTGGCCAGCACGAATATTTTCATCTGAATCCGGCGCACTTCCTGGGGGCTTGGATTTCTCCATAGGGTTTTGGAAAATAGCTCGAGATATGGTCTGTGGAAAACGAACCTGTTAGATAAATGCACGTTTTGTTCAGCCGGATAATATCCACATGTCTACCTACTTTTATAATTTTCAAATCATAAATCTGATCGATAGATTTATGATCGATAGATTTATGATTAGCATAAGTTTGTTCATGATGGCTCACTTCAGTGATAGTGATGACATTGAGTCATTTTGAAGATTGAGTTACAATGATAAATTGGAGTGGCAAAGGATCAGCTGCATGACCCGCCATCAAGTGCTTCATCCAAAAGGACAGGAGGATGGACTTTGTGTTTAAGTGATTTGATCATCAAAGTTAAGTCATTTTCAATGTGGGCCGCTGTGCGGACTTAATTCATTTGTAATTGTTACTTGGCTGTGGGTTCCCTGTCATGATATGTGTGTATATAAATGGTGTTGTTTTGTGTGGTAGAGGGTCGCTGTCATTGATGCGTTTTACACCCCAGGCCGCTGTTTTGATATTCCGCAGAAGTATACGTGATGTAATAACTTTTCTTTTTTTTTCGAGGGAAGGGGGGGTCAGAGGGCCTACAGTAGGTATAAAAATCACGGCTCGCCACTGGCACTGACCATGCCCATTTTTTTATTAAGACCTTTTTGAAATCTCAACTATTCAATCAAAAAGTTTGGAAACTGCGTTTTGCACAGTTACGACATTACGAAAGTCACGAAAAAATTGGTCCACAGACAAATACAAAACAGACATATTTCACTTTTTTTTGTAGTTCCCGCTAGAGTAGATGTCTCCAGGTTTACATTTTGTCATGACAAAACACACTGATTAAGTCTCGAAAACAATACCAGCGTCCCTGTCCATTCGACATTGTTATTTTTACGGTTGGTATCATCCCTTGGCATGACAATAACTGAGCAGAGGAAATTGAGTTTAATATTGACTGATGGTGACAAGAGGGAGTTGTAGTCTTTTTTTTCTTTCCGCACATACACAAATGTGCGCTGGTTTGTGTGTTCTCCCCGGTGTCTAGTTGTGGTGTGGAGGATCGTTAGCAGCCGTGTCTTACAAGGATTAGGTGGATAACAACAGCGGACTCAGGTCAATGCATTATCTCTCTGCCTGCCTGTATCTAGTATCTTACTCGGCTCTCACACACATACACGATCACAGGATTACTTGCAAGTCACACAAACAACTTAATCAATGTGAGTTATTTTCTGTCAAGTGTTGACGTGGATATTGGCTTTTACCTATATTATGTGTTGACATTGCCTTGCACGTTTTCCTTCACTGTGACTCATTTAGTGCGGAGAATATTCACAGTTCTGTCCATTTTCCATTCATCCTCTTACCCGCTCGCTAGCCTTCCCTCCACAGTTTATGCAGGTAATCATCTTTGCCGTCATTTCCATCCATACTTTGATACCATCCATCTATCCTTCCCTCCCAATCCATCTTAATCTCTTCATCATCTGCTCGTCTCCATCCCCTCTCCCTCCATATCTCCCTCCCTCCTCCTAATCTCCCAAGCTTTTGCAAGGATCTAATTAGCTGACATTGCCGCTAATGAAGTCTGACAACAAAAGATCACCAAAGCTTGGCAGGTGGGTCGGGGGGAAGGAAAAAGGAAAAGGGGGCAAGACTAGAGAGAGAGTTTGAAAGAAAATGTAACAGTGAGATTGTGTATGTGCTGTCAGGATGCTCCGTTGCCTCTACAGGCTAACAGGAAGTGACACGTGTTTTTGAAGACGCAGCTGACAGGATGTGACATTGCTCCTTGCACGGCGCCATCAAAGCACGGGGAGTAATTAGCGCTCTATTGACTGCCATGACATCAATCAGACTAGCTGTCTAAATGTGGCCGTGTGCTATAGAGACACTCGCAGAGGCAGAAGAGGATGGCATTTTATCCCCATGATAGTCAGTGTGTGTGTGTGTGTGTGTGTGTGTGTGTGTGTGTGTGTGTATTGTACGGGTTGAAATTGTCTTGCATAACATTATTTAGACAAGCCCTCTGTGTGTGTGTGAGAGACAGAGCGAGGCAGAGCTACGGGTGGTAAACTGGCAGGCATAAATTAATGTAGGCAGGCTGTCTGGCTCAACATTCCCCTTTGACTCTAGTAGCCATGTGTGTGTGACTGGAGGCCAATGTGTGTAATGCTTCTGCCAACCACAATGGCAGTTGATGGAATCTCTCTAAAGCTGGATTCATACCTGACAAAAGGGGTGAACAGATGCCCAATGAGTCACAGGTTTGGATTGTTTAGTGTTGAGTGCTATATTCAACTGGTTGAAATATACATGATTGTGATTTATCCCTATTTAAATGTGTTTAAACCCGAATCATTTTACCCAACCAAGTATAATTACTAACCCTAACATTAACCCAAAAACATACTTCAAACATTTCTTCTGTGCAAAAAGTAATTGCACAGAGGCAAATATATACACTTTGTATGAATCATAAAGGTCTTTGCCAAGTATAATCTGATCACATACACACAAAAGACAGAGAACACATGTTGCTTAGCTACAGGTTAATCCTGAATTTCTATTTTCATTTAGTTTTTCAAGTCTCTAATGAATGAAACGGGTAAAAGATTAAAAAAAAGTAAAGGAACAACAAGAAGGTAGAAGGGAAATAACATTGAGAGCCGTCCCTGAGCGTGTACATTTTGTGGCTCAAAACTTGTGCGTGTCCTTTTGAGAGTTATTATGCTCATGTGTCCTTTTACCGTGCGTGCTCCAGTGCGGGCGGATGTCCTTTGCATGGAATTTATTCTTCATTGAGAAGTACTTGTGCAAATACGAGAGGCGGAAATCATAAATGAGAGGAAGAGAGTTCAACGGGGGGAAGAGAGACACAGAAAGGGTATATTGAAGGGAAGGAGAGCAAGTGGGAGGAAGGGATGGAGCCGACGAGTGCCTCTTGAGAGCTTTCTCTTATTAGCCGCGATGAATCACACGCTTTGAGTCCGGAAAACACAAACTCTGGGCCTTTTCTCGTCTGCTCTCCATCTCGTGCTCCCCCAACCTCTTCCCATTCCTCTCTTTGAGTCCTCTCAATTCAGTCTACTTATTTCTACTTTCCAATTTCTTTTTTTAGTTGATTTAGTTAGTCCTTGATATTCCTTGACCCCTTCCTTTCCCCCCTTGCATATCCTCACTCTTTCCCTATTTTCATCTGAATTATCCTAAACATCCACTTAGCCCCTTTTCCCGCAGCTACCTCTTATTTTCTTCTTTTTTCCTTCATTAATTTATCCTCTTTTCTCATTCCTGCAATTATTTGAGTCCACTTATGCTTCCTTTTAGGCTATAAAAATGTGACCTTCTATTCCTCAAATCATCCCTTGTGTGTTCTTTCTTTTTTTAGAGCTCTAAACATGCATCTGTCCCTTCTCATGTTGCTCCTATTTTCTTTTCATTCTGTTCTTTTGTCCATTTTCTCTGCTTTCCCTAACCTTTATCCCCCACTTTTTGTCCAGCTTTTAGAATAAAATCCTCGCTTTTCTTCAACACTTCCTTCTTCTAATTTGTTCCTTCAGTTCCAAAACACTTATCCTAGCTCTTTCTTCTCCCTACCTCTCTTATATTTCACCCCTTTCCCCACTTTCTTTCTAGTTCCCGAAACACTCCAAACTTCTCTCGTTTCCGCCATGGTCCTTGAAACGGCTTGCTTTTCTGAGTTTTTAATTTAGAAAGAAATTCCAAATCCCTTTCCAAAGATTTTTTATAATATTAAAATGTTCTTTTGCTTACATATATAAAATAAAACTAATTAGTTAAGATTAGGTAACGATTGTGGTATTTGTCGGTAGAAGTCGGTTAGGAAATAAAATTGGCTATTTGATATTGAAGCGTGTCAAAGGGCAAGGAGATACATTTGGCTATTTCACAAAGAGTCAATAGAAATTGCATAAAATCCCTTAAGTATAAACTGAAAGGTGATTGAAATCTTAACAAATCGGACCTCTAAATTAATGAACTTGCTGCAGTTATATTTCAGACCATTTTGTAAAAACGTTACCTCAGTTGTTCATTCACTGATGAGCTTTTCTTCTCGACTTTGCTTTAATGCTTATTTGTGGAAAAAACATGTCAAAGCTATTAAATATGCATCCCCCACACATACAAACGGCCCCACCCCAACAAAACTAATTACCTACAAGAACAGAGTAATGAAGAAAGCAGAACTCACACACACCAGCCTGGCACCCACTAAAAGCTCCCTTAGTGTGTGTCGGACGTGTGCAAGATAAAGACAGTGATTATGTATTACTGTGTAAAAAATGGCCTGCGTGTGTGTGTGGCCCTCATTGAGCTGAGAGAACATCTGATTAATTATCATGGAGGGAAGAAAACCTCTCCAGTGACTAGCCAAGCAATGCTCAAAGCTCATCTTACTCTCCTTTATGAGCTCCCTCTCAGTCTCTTGTGGCATCTATTTCATCATCCCCATTCTTAATATGCATTTTGGGAGCGCGTGTTGTTTCCCTTCATGCACTCTGTTAAGTAAGTCGAGCGCAATAAGCATGTGAAATATGATAGGTAAGGTACAATAAATGAAAGAAAGAAGTCTAGCCATTTTGACTCTAAATCTTATCAGGAGTCACACTTAATAGTACACTTAACAAGAAAACTGGTCAGTTGCTATACAGACGAAAAGCCTGTAGAGTGAAGTAATATTTTACCACTTCAGGGATGCTCTTATCAAAGTCGATGAAGTTCTAGGTCGGATTCACAAAATAAGGTAATTAGTGAAGCTTTTACTAAACGGTGGTCGCAAACATACGGAGCCCCCTATTTACTTTAAATAAAGTTTTTTAGATGTAAGCCTATCATCCACCACCCCGTTAGCAGGTGCCACTCGATTGACGTATCTGGAGACATTCCTTGTCACTCCAGACAATAATAGACTGACTTCAAGTGATGCTGCATATTTTTTAACTAACTGCTCTTATGGTACAGTATACCAACTACAACAAAATGAACATATTTTAGCGTGATTTAATTGTAATACACGTTTCAAAATGATGCCGGAATAACTACATACTGATACCGGTTAGTTAAAAACATGAATTAATGCTTTGACAAGCCTGCAGGCAAACAAACATTTAAAATGCATGTTTTCTGAATGGAGATCGGATCGATCAGGCTAAACCAGCGTTTCTCAAAGTGGGGGGCGCAGAGGCATGACATTGGGGGCGCGAGAGACCAGGAGAAACAATTGTTTAAAAAATAATAATAATCATAATTTCAAAAATGATTGATTCGAAAATAATATGATACAGCACCGTACAAGTACGTCTGGTTCTCTGTGTTTCATTCAAGCTTGGCGCTGTGTGAGTGTGGAACGAGCCATTTTGTGTACGTGCGCGCGCGAGAGAGAGCGCACCGGTACCGGAGATCGTTGTTGTTAGCTTCTGGTGCTAGCGAGCTACGCTAACGGATATAAGGAGCTTTTTCAACAACAAAGTGGAGGAGAGCCCTCTCCTGTCAGACTGAGAGTCTCAGTGAACTAAAGGACTCTCTCAGTGTTCTTTCTCCAAACGGGGGGCCTGACGTTTGAGAACCACTGGGCTAAACTAACGTTATAGCTGCTCCGTCCAAACTCACAACAACGTCCTAAAGACAGAAATAAAGCAGCGGCTGTATTCGCCATGACACAGACAGTCTGCGGTTTGTACTTGTTTAACTTTTGTCCAGTTTCTGAACAGATATGAGGAGCTGTGAGCTCTGAGTGCTAACAGCTAATGGCTGCTGTTTTGGTTTTCTGATTCAACGTCAGGCTGAGATACTCACTGCTGATTGGCTACCGCGAGAACGCGTCATTCGACTTAACATGTAATCGCGCCGCCCCCAAAATCGCATCGCGTCCAGTGTGAACGCACCAATGGTCTATGCATGGATAAAGAATGTTGTTAGAATTTTGAATTTGTAAGAATTGTGTTAAAAATAACTAGTTGTAATGTTAATGTTAAATGTTGCACATTTGCATTCAGTGGATAAGCCTCACAGTTAAAATGGCACTTTATGTTATCTGCTCACTGCAAGATGTTATTTTTTTCTTTGTTGTTGTTGCTGTCAACAAAATAATGTTCATTCACTCAAACAAATGGAAAATAAGCTAGGTACATTTATATTTAGGATTGTAATGAAGGAATGAATGAAACTTAAAATGATAGGTATGATGTAAATATATATATTTATCATTTTTAACATGTTAGTTATGTTGTGTTCTTGGTTTAATCAAATTGGAAGTTGCA